TGTCCCCGAAGGGACAATCATCTCTGTGACTCCAACGATATATAAACTCTGCTTCTTGTTCTTCGATAAACGATGTGGGAGGAAAGGGAAGAAGATGACTAAATGTTGGGCCTGTTTTATAAACTGGAAAAGCCCATATAGTAACTTAGCTAGCCCGGTTCGATATTAAAAGATCAAAATCTTTCTTCGGTTTTACGAGGCCCAGAAAATCTTTCTTTGTCTTGTCCTTCTTCGATTGAATACAATACGGTTCAGTTTGTTTATAACAATTTAAATTTGGAGCTATCAAAACGTTTCCGCGATTTAGCATTAATTTTGTGGAAATTCAAACTTGTAACATGCAGTCGTCTTTTACAAAACTGAGAAATTTTTCAATAAGTTGCTTGTTATTATGATTATTAAACTCTCTGTCTCCACTTGTTTAAACGTAAACAAAAATTATAGATTCTTCATTTTTATGGCTTCTTTCCGACCATGGAACTGATTCTAGTAATATATAAATGCAGCTTTACATGAACGGTGTGGGACTTGTGAACTATTGCAGTATAAAAAGGCAACTTATAACAAAACTTCTCTTTCTGATTCTTTATGGCCTGTCCCCAGTCCCCTATGTTATTATTGATTTTTTTCATAGGAGTTATTATAATGAATGATTTTTTATTCCATCAAATTCGTATGCAACAAATGTTGAAGGTTCCACCTTATTTCACATTCAACCATATATTATGCAATATATATTCCAAATACTTCAAATATTTATTCATGGCCAAAATTCATACCAATTGTTTGAATGCCAGCGCTTAGATTTTGAGAAAATAGGTTTTAAAGATGGTTTATATTCTAATGGTATTTTATTTTATATTAAAAATAGAGTGATAGAACAAAAAAAACAGATAGATTCTTCGATAGAATCTATTTAGAATGTGATTGGATGATAATTGTAAAGTAAATTTTTACTATGAATTTTATTTTCTTTGTATTTAGCTGAAATACTCCCAATCAAGTTTTTATTCTTTTACTCTATACTAGAGGTTTTTCCGTGTCACGCGCGAATTATGTATTTTAAATTTTATAATTTACAAATATATGAATTATGTTATTATACTTTAATTTATGTGTATAATTTTACTTTTGTTTTTAATAGTCTTATTTATCTCATATATTAGATATATGTATATTTTAATATATTTTATGTTTGTATCACACAATTTAGTAATTAACAATAGTTTCATTTTCGATTTTCTATAAATGAATTATTATTTTCGCATTTTATACTAATTTAAAATTTGACAATTTTTTGACCTAAATACTTAAAATTGTGTAGGTGCTATTTTTTTTTTACTTTTATGTGCTTTATTTATTATAGCAAAATCAAATGATTATTTTGCAAAAAAAATATTAATATAGAATCAAAAATGAATCTCTTATGTATTTATGTGCTTTTTTAGTAATTTTTTTTTATCTCAGCTTTTATGATAACAACACAAGTAACAATGAACGAATCATCCTCCACTGAAAAGCATTGAACCTATGTAAACCGAATGTGGACCCAACCAAATGGAAGTATCCGGTTTACAAGACCAATCTGGTATCCGGTTCAATTGATTTATAACAGAACTTTCTTCCATTTTAAATGATTTTTGTGGAAAGCAGACTTATTCGTCTATTACCAATGTCAGAGAGACTTTCCTTAATGTTGCTTCTTCTTCTTACTATTGTTATTCAGAAACTTTCTGTCTCCACTAGTTTAGATGTAAGCATAACTTGTAGGTCTTTTACATGGCTTATCTCCGATGATGGAATTGACTCTAGCAATACATAAACTGTTACTGTAATTAGAGATAGACAATGAACTTAAGGAAATATGTAATCGAAAGTTCTGCTTTTATTCAATGACGAAGACGCCTTAAATAGATCATGAGATCGTACAACAAACTTGAAATTGGGCAACTAACTCCTACAAAGACTCAACAATCTCCACTCTTCTGCTTCCTAAATATCAGGTGGACTTATTCAAATAAACCAAATGAAACAGACTCAGTCATTACTTCTTGAACACGTCAACAAGTAACTCTTATTCAACATATCCTTCCCTAAACTAGAACAGCTCCTTTCCAGTTTATTCTTCTTTAGAACATACTCCCATCTTCAACATGAGCTTCTCAAACACATCTAGCTTCACCGCTTTTGTCATAATATCTGACAACTGCTCCTCCGTAGGACAATATTCAAGTTGAATGATCCCATCATTCACAAGTTCTCTTAAGAAATGAAATCTTACATGGATATGCTTGCTTCTGCCGTGTAGCACAGGGTTTTTAGAGAGCTTGATAGTAGAGCTGTTGTCACAGTACAATGTCATTCCCTTTTTATGTATCTCTCCTACTTCTTCTAAGATGTTTCGCAGCCACACTGCCTGACATGCTCCATAAGCTGCAGCTAGAGATGTCAAATGGGCCTTATGCCCATGGACAGTCCATGTCCAAACCCATTTGGACTAACCAAATTAGACCAACAAATAAAATTATCCAACTGGGTCGAGCCCAATAAATCCCAATTCCATTGGGCTTAAACCAAATGGACATGGGCTGCCCAAACATTTAAAATTGTTAGGGTTTTCATTTTGGGGAAAAAAAAAATCTGTCTATCTCAATTCCCCTCGACTCTCGGCTGCTCGCGGCTCTCTCTCAATCTCGATCTTCTGCATCTCTCTCGACTCTCTAGCAGAGAGTCTCTGCCGATCCGTCCCGATTGTGTCTCTCCATCTCAAGTCTCAACTCTCCTCTCTCTCACTGATAAGGTTATGTATCATCTCAAGTTCTCAATCACTCACTCTTTGATGGGTTTTCGTTTTTCTTGCTTTTAGGTTGATGGGTTTTCGATTTGCTTTCAGGTTGATGGGTTGATGGTCGCGGCTCTCTCACTCTCTTAGATCCGTCTCCCTCGAATCTCGATCTGCCTCTTTGGTTTGGTTCGTGAAATCACTGAAATCTCTTTGGTTTGTGGTTTTAACTGATGGGTTTGTGGTTTAAATTAGGGTTTGTGGTTAACTTAGAGTTTGTGGTTTTTATTGCATTGTGAGTTATTTGTTTACTAATTAGGTTGGTGGGATATGCTGCACTTTACATGTGTTTACTATTTTCTGTAAGCTTTTGGGTGTATAGGTGAAGTAACATTTGATATTTGGAGATGATGATGATTACTGATTACATAGTATTTAATTTGAGAAGCTTGTAGTAGTGTTTGTTTTCATTGTTGTCTGATTCTGTAGCATTAGTCAGCGGGAGATCTTGTTAGGATCACTCTTGTATAGGCCGTTGTGTTCTACTTAGCCAACTTTATTAGATACTCTTATAAATAGTCTTATAAATCTGGTGAACCATGTTGTGTATTGACATCTGTTTCTGCATAA